GCTCTGTGAAGAAAGGGGTATTGTTAGGCAACTAACAATCCCTGACTCCTCAACAAAACGGAGTTGCTGAAAGGAGAAATAGAACTCTCCTCGATATGGTTAGATCAATGATGGCACAAGCTGAGCTTCCAACCTCATATTGGGGAGATGCTCTTTTAACTGCCACATTCATACTTAACCGAGTGCCTTCTAAATCAGTCACCACAACCCCTTATGAATCATGGACAAACCGCAAACCGGATCTAAGCATCCTAAGACCATGGGGGTCAGCGGCCTACATTCGTGATTCTTTCCATAAGTATGACAAGCTAGAACCGAGGGGCAAAAAGTGTATCTTCATAAGATACTCTGAGAACTCTAAAGGGTATGTCTTCATTGGTGAAAATGATGACGGCTCAGTGACTGAGATAGAGTCAAGGGACACAACATTCATAGAAACCGAATATCCTAGCAGAGGGAGTATTGATCGAACAAGCCGTCTTTATGAGGATGATGGCAATGAGGTACAACAAAGTGTTCCTCAGTCTACTGATCCGAGTGGGAGGGTTGAACCATTTTCACAACAAGGTTTAACCCAGTCACAGGAAGAAAGTCTTACAACAACCCCACTTAGGAGAAGTAACAGAGACAAAACTCCTAGGAGACGCTTCTCAATTGAAGGAGCAACCTTCATCGTTAGTCCAGAAAACGATAAAGAAGACCCTGTAAGTGTTAAAGAAGCACTAACAGGACCTGCTAAGAAAAAATGACAGAAGGCCTTACAAGAGGAAATGGATTCCATGGAATCCAACCAAGTATGGGAATTAGTTGATCTACCACCTGGCCAAAAGGCAATTGGGAGCAAGTGGGTTCTCAAGTACAAACGTAAGGCTGATGGATCAATTGATAAATCCCAAAGCAAGGTTAGTTGCCAAAGGGTATACAACGGGAAAGGAGTGGATTACACAGACACCTTCTCACCTGTTGTACATTTCAACTCGATACGATTGATACTGGCTTTAGTAACAAGTTTAGACTTAGAGTTACATCAGATGGATGTAAAAACCGCTTTCTTGAATGGAGAACTAGATGAAGAAATCTATATGGAACAGCCTGAGGGCTTCATACAGAAAGGGAACGAACAAAATGTTTGTAAACTCTTGAGATCCATTTATGGACTCAAGCAATCATCTAGGCAGTGGTACTTAAGGTTCCACAAAGCTATAAGCTCCTATGACTTTGAAATGATCGAGGAAGATCACTGCGTTTATATCAAGCGGTTTGGAGACAACTTTGTCATTCTATCCCTCCATGTCGACGACATACTACTAGTTGGTACCAATCTGAAACTAATAAAGATGATCAAAGAGTGGTTATCCTTGAACTTCGAGATGAAAGACATGGGCGAAGCAGAATATATCTTAGGCGTTAAGATAAAAAGAGATCGTTCTAGAAAATTGCTGTTATTGTCACAAAAGGCATACATAGCAAAGATTCTTGAGCGTTTTAATATGAGAGACTACAAGCCTATGGATACCCCTGTGGTTAAGGGACATAACCTAAGCAAGGAAATGCACCCTACAAAACAATGCGATATAGAACGCATGAAGAGAGTCCCATACTCAAGTGTTGTTGACAGCCTAATGTACACCATGTTGTGTACCAGGCCAGACATATGCTTCGCAGTCAGATTTGTGAGCCGATTCCAATCCAATCCAGGAGTCAAACATTGGGAAGCTATAAAGAGGATTATGAGATATCTAAAAGGAACCATGGACTATGAGCTATGCTATCAAAGAAATGGCCTTCGTGCGGAGGGTTATTCTGATGCTAATTGAGCAGGAGACCTGGACGAGCGACACTCGACGTCAGGTTATGCTTTCCTACTGAATAACGGAGCAATCTCCTGGAGCAGCAAGAAACAAACGTATGTGTCTCTTTCATCCATGGAAGAAGAATATGTAGCTTGTTCTGCAGCTGTCCAAGAAGCTGTGTGGCTTAAAAGATTCTTAGTACGATTGGGAATCCATGGTGGGAGTAAGGGACCAACTCTGATTCACTGCGATAGTCAAGTAGCAATAGCCTATGCAAAGGACCCTAAGTACCACAATTGTACTAAACATATAGACATAAAATATCACTTTGTAAGGAATATGATCGCTAAGAAACAAGTGACAGTTCAATACTTGTCCACTCATAAGATGTTGGCAGATCCCCTAACCAAGCTTATAGCTAGAGATCCTTTCGTTAAGCATGTAAAGGCCTTGGACATGCATAGAGCATGATGTATTGAACTCCTTTTTCTTTTTTATCCTTTTTTGTTCAAATACGCAGGCACAAGGCATGTTGTACTGAACTTTTTGTTTCCTCTTACTTAGTAATTCAATGCATTTTATCCAGTTCAAAGAAATTTTTTTATATATACATTTGTGTATTTATACATGCATAGGCACAAGGTATGCAATACAAATATGTCGTACAAGTCACAAGGTTGGCTCACTCACACGAGCAACCGCCTCGCTATGTTCTCATGGGATATAGAAGGTTTGACAACAAATAATCACTATGAGATGGTAGAGAAGAATCATTGCACAAATGTCACCTCAACTAGACTGAGATGAGACCCATAAAAGTTTGGGCCGAGTCATGGATAATGTGTCGTCTATGAGACCTGTAGCCAGACAAGGAACTTTTCACTAGTAAGACGTCATATATGGTTGTGATGAAAGAGCTCCTGGTTCAAATGTTGGAGTGCATTTGGAACTTAAGTCTGTACGGTGCTATTAAAACCAAAAGCGACATACTCCACTTGGTGGATTGAGCACCATAGCATGCAATTCATACTGCATGAGCTCACTCAAATCCGCAACATGGGACGTAGATGGAAGATCCCTGATCCATTACGGTGTGAGTCCCACAAAGGAAATAAACCTTTCATAATGCCCTTAAGACTTAGACAACATCACAAGGTTTTGGTTTAGTGACAGCTACTCTAGCCTAAACCCCATGGTCAAGAATGATGCAATCTAACGGGTCAAGACTAGAAAAGCGACTATGCCAAATCTAAATGATGGATAGTCAGAAGGAAGATTTATCCTGAAATACACATCTACGTTGGTGTCTGTGACATGTCCCTTGCAGGTTGAATAGAACAACTAAGCAAGTGTGGATACCATACGTATGGGAAGGCAATCTGAGTAAACAAAATAACTTGAGAGGGATTAGATATGTCACAAGAAAAGTGTATGGATAAAACTAGGGCATTCGAGGCAACAAGCATACAATTTGCAGGTACACCAAGGGTGTTCTTGTGTGCTGGTCCTGCATAAAGGATTCCTAGTGCACAAGTGCCCGAATCAATGATGTCATGCCCATGCGGTCACGGCAGACACCTAGTATGAAGCAATGAAAGATTTAGCTATCGCACGATGGGCAGCCCATCAAGTGCGAGTGGGAGATGTTAGATTTTAGGCATGGATCCGCCCTTGATGGGCCAAATTATTTGACCGGGTATAAAGAGAATATATCAGTCAAATATCCAAGCGATATTGTGATATGTTTGACTTGGTCAAACACCCTGAATCATATCCAATTGGTTACGATATAAATCTAATTAATTTATATTAAATTAATTAATTTATATTGTGTAGATTAAATATATATTAAGTATATATATTTAGAATCAATTGTGATTGATTCTGGATTTAAATTCAAATATCATGATATTATGAGATAAGGATATATTATATCTTATCTCAGATTTTATCTGATGAACTCAGTGGATATTTTTATGCTACCCAAAATATCCCTGACAAAAGCTATAAATAGACGCTTCCCCCCATCAGTTCAAATCACTCCAGTAGTAGAGCTTTCCTACTATATATATATATATATCTCTCTCTCTCTCTTATTTTCTTTCTTGCAAAGAGGTGCTCTGCTGTGCACTTAAAAACTTATACTTTCATAGTCTAGCTTAAGCGTGAGCTAAGAAGATCCGACCGACCGACCCAAGATCCGACTCGGTATGTTTTCGATCAAGTGTCTTTTTCTTTCAACAACTTCAAATAGGATGCTCTCAATGTAAAAATACTTATCCATGAAAAAACAAAACATTTTCTACATGCTAGAGGTAGAAATATGGGTTAGCCCGTGAACCCACCATAAAGGTTAGGGTTGGTATTTTGCTAGTCGACCAAAGTGCAGGCTAGAACACAACCCGCAAGTTGTGGCGTGCTAGCTCGCAGGTTGGTTGACCTAGCTTGTCATTTTTTTCTCCACATAAATAATATGTTATTATATTTGAAAAATTTCTTCCCTTGTTTATATTTCAATTTTCATGTTACATAATACATATCTAAAATATTTTTAAAAAATAAACACAGTATATTTATAACAAAAATTTAATAACTACAATCAAATATAAGACAATATTTATCATAGAAAAAAGTGTTTTAGAAAAACATGGTAAATGAACTATAAAAAAAATTAGATAAATACACTTCTAATTTATTAAGAGATAATTTTTTGTATCAAATATGGTATTCGTATGAAAAAATTATAAAATTTATCACTTGATGAGTTAATGTTGAATGTTAATCATGTAAAATATTTGTAATTTATTGTTTTATATTTATATTGATTAGTTTGGATAAACATAACTTATATTTATGATTTTCTTTTGAAATTTTGGATGATCATTTATTAATTTTAAAAAAATTAAATAAAAGCAAGGTTTAAAAATTAAGAATTAAAAAAAATGACAGGTTGACCCGCAAGCCGCGGGTTGGCCCATATTCCCGGCTATACTACATGCTAGCCATGGACCAACTGATTCTGTATTTCAGTGCCCCATCAGCATATAATTTTCAAATTTGGCGAGAGTGGGTGTTTGGAATAAAAAAAAAAATTCAGATAAATTTTTTTTTATATTTACTTGCTAGTTTAAGATCACTTTTTTTTTTTTTTTTTTAAACGAGAGTTTTCCCTTGGACGCGGAGTGCATTCAGCACAGTGGTCGTCAAGCAACAAAAGTGTTTCCGATAGTGATGGTGGTCGAGGCGTTTTTCTGGAGGGGACGCGCGCTAGCACCTGAAGAAATTGAAAAGCTGCCAAATCTGCTTCTTCTCTCAGGTCCTCCTTCCTGCGGCAAAACCTCTCTTCTTTTTCAGTTTGCATTCAATGTGGCTATATCACTCACCAACTCTACCACTTCCAATGTCTTCTTCATCTGCAACCGCCACAAGTTGGATTCTAAACCCCCTTTTCTTTCTCAGGTACGCAAATCTCTCTCTTCGGAATGGACTTGTGCCTAATCACAACGGTGGCTCGTTTGCTTTAGAATTTGATAAAATACTTGGCTTGAAAATGAAAGCATGAGACATCCCTTAATTGTTGAAATTAGAGGTAACCTGTTCAGAAAAAGAAATGTTGGGCTGAGTGTAGTAATGACAGTCAAAATCATGGCGTTAGATTCTTTTTCTTTTTAAAATTCAGAGGTTAGGGAGTTTTAGTATTCAAAATCACATGGGTCATTGCCATTAATTTTAACCAGTATGTATGATTTTGTTTAGGTCATGAATTCACCGAGGGGTTTATTACATTTTGAAGTTTATATTGCCCATAGTTCGGAAGGGTATCATGTAGTTTCCCTTCTTTTGAAACCGACTTCAATTTTTTGAATTTCAGGGCATTGATGGGTCTTCTGATGTCTTCAACCGTATACAAATGAAGTATGATCATCAACACTTCACTCGTTTCTGCTATATTTGCACTTTTGATTGCTTACTTCTGCTTTGAATTTGACAATCTTTTCCCTTCTTTTTTCCCCCATGGTTAAGGTATGTGAATGGTGATGAGGACATCAACAAGTACTTTGCTGCCTTCCATCTGTATGATGTATTGCCTGCTGCTGTTATAATTGATGATTTTGCAGATTTCTTTGATAATAGGTAATTCAGCCGTTAAAGTCATAGAAATTGGCTTAGTCACAACACTTTTTAAGCCCTATGTGAAATTCTAGTAACTCTTTAGCGACATTTGTCTAAAATTCTGAATTCCCAAAAGGATCTGCCAAGAACGACATTGTAATCCTCGTGGAAGAGATTTGGCGATGGTCAGGAGTCTAGCTTTATGTCACAATGCAATTACTTATGCAAAGTAAGTGGGCATTACTTTTGCAAGAGTTTGTAGTAGCATGGAACCTAAGTGCGATGCTCGATTTGCGAGACTGGTATATTGATAAAATTCTTTTCTAACTTTCACAGTCAAAAAGGATCTTGCAAACTTCTATTATCAGATACATACCATGGAGACTCCCCCAGGTTGCATTTCATCTATAAGAAATGGATACCCTCCATTTTTACAGTCAAAGGTTAGTTGAATATAAAATTACTATATACAGGTATAGTCTTTGTACTTGACTATTTCTTCCGCTCTCTGTATTTGAGTCCATTTCCTGCTATTAGATTGCATTTGAATATTTAAATTACAGACCATCCTGCCCTGGCAGAAGGAAGTATCCTTTCATGACCTTTATATAGCTCTCAGTTTCATGTCATTTGTACCTTCTTTAGTGGCATACTAATAATAATTGTCATATTACTGGATCTTTCAGAAGGAGATGAAGCCGGATCATTCACTCTAAAGGATAGGAGTTCTTCAGGAACTGAGAACCCTGATGGGACAAAAGTTGCCAAGTACTCCATAGCTCTTCAGTATCTGTTCTTAGAGCGAATTGTTGAAGACCAAACAGACTAAATTTTTCATCATGTGCAAAATCACGACTTTGTGCCATCTCTAACTGGATGATACTGATACTGATTGTTTCCTTTTCAGCGATTATACTTGTATCTCTGCACACATCCACTTAACTAACCATATGATCCTTAAGATATTATTAACTTAATTTCTGTTTGTAAGTTCCCTATTTTTCTCATCACTTAGTTGAGTTCTATGCTTTCCAATGGACTACCGATTTATTAAACTAATCTGTGGCACAGAATGGTGCCACCAAGTGACATCACCAACAAGAAAACTCGTGTACTTTGGCTCTTAGATTATCATGATTTTGCGAAGTTGGTTTCTGCAATTTATCAAATGATTCATCCACAACAGGTAAATTAATTCTAGCACGCTGCAGTGCTAAAATTCTTCTTCTTTGTTTATTTTCCTGTAAACTTAAGATTCCCGTTTTCTTGACATCTTTGTGCACTTGTCTAGGACAGGTCACTGGCAAAATTCAGGCATCTTTTCCCCCAAGTCCATATCAAAATATAGGATCCACTAAAATTGGCTTGCTCTGTCGCTATATGTTATGGTATCATCTGGTGGTCTGAGTGTTTCTCTTTGGTTCAACTCTATGACCATATCTACCAAGATTATCTAAAGCCCCTCTTTCACATCAGATCTCCAAAGAGCAGTATTGATCAGGAAACTCCTTGTTATGTAAATCAGATCCCATGCATTCATATTTCACACAAACTATTAGTAGTTGTCTCAAGTGGAAGGGATTTGATATTACTTAAATAAATTTATGTGTTCGAATTTTTATACATTGAGGGTTTTTTTTCAGAATGACGGTAAAATCCTTGAAAAACAGCTTTTCAGTTATAATTTACGGAATACAATGTAAGTAATGAGATGAGTTTTATTTTGAATTATGTGAATAGGTACTTTTGGATATCTCAATTTTGATTCCAAACAAGCACTGAAAAAATCATATTAGGAGAGCTGCTCTCAAGAGAATGATTGTATGCTCCGAATGTATTATATACGCTCACTTGTGAGCATGTATTGATGTAAGGTAGCTGAATTGTATGTTTTCTCAAATGTGAGGGGCTCTTTTTTGTTTTGTTTCGTTTGTTTTTCAAGTAATTGTTCCTTTGGGCCCCCCCTGTTGCCTTTCGTGAACTCGTTCCTAATTGGACCAAATGGGGATAGCCGTCATGATATGATTTTTGTTTCATTTACAAAATCCGATCCCACAACTTTGTTAAAGGAGTATTTAGTCCTTTCAGTTTAGTCTATCACCATCGGTGAGTGAAAAAAGAAAAAGGAAAATTTGGTTAAAAATCTCTGATTAAAAACTTAATTGACTAAAAAGACTTAAATTTGAGTACCTGTAACTATAATTCATGAATGTAACTTTTCTTCCTTTGTATGCGATAATTAATAAATTTAATTCTTATATATTGATAACAAAAATATATTAAATGTTGCATATATTTTTTCTACAATGACTAATGCAAGTGGTGCCAAGAAAAAAAAGCCAAGTTTTGTGCGTTTTGCTGATTCACTACAAAATGTAAATTGAATGTTTAAAAAGAGAGAAGAGTGAGAAAAAAGATTGACAAAAGTGGCATTTGGCCCTCAATAAAATGGCTGATAGACGATAACCAAAAATTAAATTAGTAGTATGAGTGTATGACCTTAGGGTAAAAGTAGGGAAAATTCCACTTATTTTATAAAAAATTATGTAGTAATAGTGGTTATTGAACGACACTAAATAATGACGCGTCCGTTATAAAATAGTTTAAAATATGATATAAATGAGTAAATAAGATTTCACCCTAATTTAGCAGATTCATAAACAGACGAGTACCACGTGTTTATTAATGACCCATATGTTTATCTTATGATATACTCCTCCGGTCCTTAATATAAGACCCATTTAACTAATTTGATTAGATTAATGAAGTTAGGTAAGTTAGTTAATTATAACAAATATGACACATTTTTTCTAAAACACCACAATCATCTTTCTTAATACCTCATCTCTCTCTTTTACTTATTATGGTTGAGAGATCTATAGGGGTAATTTAGAAAATTGATAAATATGATAAATGGGTCTTATATTTAGGATCAAAACCAACTCAAAAATTGAGTCCTATATTAAGGACCGGAGGAGAAACTTGTATTTATCACTTCCATAGACAATTTAATACTACTTCTGATTCTTAATAAGAGATCTAATTGACTAATTTAGAAAGACTAAAAAAATTAATTAAATTAGTTATTTATAATAAATAAGTGTTGTTCTTCCTAGAATACCCTTGCCAATCATGTACATTAACTAAAACTACTATTTGATAGAACATTCAACATATGTAACTACTACGATTTTAGAAAAAAAAGATAAATATGAAAGACAAAGTAGATTGAAGTCTTATATTTATGATTAAATTAAAAGTTAAATTAGTTCTTATATTAAAGACCGGAAGTATAAGTTTAAATAAAGGAAAAAAATTAGGGACACAGACCGGTTTAAAAATTTTAATTGAGGAAAAGTATTTATAATTCTCGGTCTTCTCCAATTAAAAAATTATGAAAGAAAAAGTGTTTATTGTGTGGTACGCAGACTCCAAACTTACAATAATGTCTTGTGGCCATTGCCGCTGGGGGAAGTCCCACATTGCCCGTGTAGAAATGCTGTTGCCCGTGTAGAAATGCTGTTAGGGTGGACCGGAGTAGGAGAATTTGAAGTGTTTGAATAGAAATCAAATCATAATTTTAAAGTGATTTTAGAATATATGAAGTAAATATGTAAAGGAATTTGTCTCTATTTATAAAAAAAATCTTTTTAAAAGCACTTTTAAGTGTTTTCAAACACCTTTTTGAGATTTGGCTAAGCATTAATGTTTGTTCAAACTGCTTAATATAAAAACTTGTAAATATATTTGTATAAGTTGAGATAAATTTTTTTTACATGTTTTTTTTCATATTTTGTAAGTCACAGTTAAAAAGATGCTTTTGAAAAGTTATACTACCAATCCAAATAAACACCTGGCAGCTAGATTGCCCAACTCGATGGTGTTCGCTTCAAGATTCAAGTTCTTGATCTTGTAGGTAAAGTCTGCCTTGAAGCTTGTTCCAGCGTCAATGAGCCAGCTCTTTTTGACAGCTAAGTTTGTTTTGTTTTGTTTTTTTTAAATTGATGATAAAGGGATATCGTTTTTATAAATTTTCTTCTTCATATATATTACTACTTCCGGTATTTAATATAAGACTTAATTGACTAATTTCAAGATATTAAAAAAATTAGTTTAGTTAGTTATTTGTAATAAATATGTGTTGTCTTTTCTAGAATACTTTTGCTAATTATGTGAATTAGCTAAAACTACAATTTGATAGAACATTTGATATGTGTAACTACTATAATAACCACTTTAGAAAATATAAATAAATACGAAAAACAAAGTAAATGAGGTCTTATATTTAGAATCAAATTAAAAGTTAAACTAGCTCTTATGTTAAGGATTGAAGGCAGTATAATATAATATGAGAATTTATTTTTGTACATATAGCTCTTGTTTGGTATAAAGCATTAAAAATGAAGGATAGGGATTGAGAAGACATATTAAAAGAGTGTTTAGCATGAGAGATTTTTTGTTACATGAGATTAGATAAAGCCGTGTATGTGGGATTGGAGAATGTAACAAGTAATTACTCATACTGAATACTTTTTTAATAATTTTGTTCAATCTCAAATCCAGTTCCTATTTTTTGTTTTCAATGGTTCGTACTAAACCGTTCTGAAGGGTTTTAGGCATACCTATGGGTCTCCCAAAATGATCAGACTACCCGCGCAAGCAAAATCGCAGTATTGAACGGTCTTTATTTCACACAATAAATGCACTAAAGTGAGGGAGAGAGCTCTCCCCCAAAGGGAGAAGAGTTTTTAAAGGGGGAGCCGTATTTGGGGAATTACTGAATCTCCAAATTACCGAATATATCCCACATATACAGTCTGATAGCATTATGATCGATATTTTAATAGTAAGAATTGGGTCTAGTAGAATGGTTCCTCACAACATGGCTAATCAAGATTCGAATCTCAACTAGAAGAATGCCCACATTTCATGTCCGATTGTGTCTTGAATATTAGAAGTATTCACGAGACGAGAAGGTTCCTAATAATTAGGACAAGACGGCTTTTCTGTCTCATATCTAGTCTCGTCTCCTCTCCAACTGGGACGAGACATAACTAGGATAGGATAGGGATGTCCCATCTCTCTCTCTCTCTCTCTTTTTTTGTTTTTTTTTTAATTTGAAAACTAACTATAAGAAAGGAAATAGATTAAAATGAGGAAACAATAGCAAACAAAAAACTTTTTTTTTGGTAATCTTGATAGATAAAAAATAAAAAAACTTAGAATGTTCAAAAAATATCATATAACCCATACAAAACAGTTTATAAACAAGTAAAAAATAATAATTGATAAATATCGTTACCAAAATACTATTACAATAATAAATAAAATAAATTTATAACAACTAAAAATAAAGATAATATATTGGGATAGGACACCCCGTCCTACGTCTCGTTCCATCCCGAAACAATTTTGTCATGTCCTGCTTTCGTCCTGTTCCAAAAACTTTCGGGACGAGATTGTCTAGTCCCAAAATGATTGGGACAGGGACGGGACACAGTTAAATACTCTTATTGAATATAGTTGTCTTTAATAGAAGGATACTTATATTTAAATCAAAAAAAAAAGGTAAAGGCCCAAGCCCGCACAAGCTTCCAATAGAATATCCACCACAATCATTTTTCTGCATGCTTTCTAAGGATCAACATATCGAGCGGCCCATCATATAATTATATGATGGATAAATTATATGGATTTTTTTTTTACTAGGCACAGATATCTTTTTATTGGAGAATTTTTTTAATAAAAAAAGCCCTATCTCGACTCTTTTCATGAATATTTTGTGCATATTTTAAAAATAAAAGAGCAGTAGGATAAGTAATTCAGGAAAATTTTCGGCGTTGAAATTTTAGAAACAGAAAGGGGCCCACATAACTGTAGAAAAAAACTCAAGGGAAAAGGTCCGGTTTGATTTTAAAACTGGAGAGCATTTTTGTGCAATTTTAAAAATTTGATAGAGCTTTTCGTAATTTAATATGTTTTATGAAAATTTTGCATTGATTTTAAAGCGTTTGCATAATTTTGTAATGTTTTCTGCATTTGTTGGTGTGCAGGCTAATTATCCTCAAGTACTTGGCCATGAAGGAATTGGGTGAGCTCCATAGACCACAGTCCTTTCTTGAGTTTAAGCTATAATTATGTTTCGTTTATCGGTTTAATATTATATGTAGAAGATATTCTTTTCCCGTTAATTCCTTATAAGTATGCATAAAAGGGAAAACCAACTTATGCATGAGATACCCTCTAAAGTTGAGTGAGTATATATATGGTCATGATTCTGACTATGTTCTTAAAGTTGAATCATCAGCCATTGATGCAGCTCATGGCAGCTTCATCTCTTGTGGCTTCTCTACTGGTTTTGGAGCTGCCTGGAAAGAAGCCATGGTTGAAGAAGGATCTAGTGTTGCTGTTTTCGGTCTTGGCCCTGTTGGGTTAGGGGTATGCATCTCTCTCTCTCTGAGATCTTTTGATGTTTCGTAGGTTCCCTGATATTGAGCACAAATTTATTTGGTATATGAGGTATTAGACGGTGAGTACTTCTTTTGTTGGGTAACTTAATCAATGTAATTTTCTCACATATATAAAAGCACTTACCACATCAGGTACCTTCAACCACTTCATCATAACCAATAGAAGAGCTGGTTGAGTCATTAAATTTGTTATAAAATGAAAAGGCAATTCGAAATTTATCCATGTTTAGAACTATGAATTACATCTTGAAAAGTGAAAAAAGGAAAATATATCACACCAAACTTTGAATAGGGAAAAGTTTGGACAAAGGTGATTCATACACCATTTGGTGATATTCATTTGTTCTAAAGAGTGCCTTATAATAAGAACCAGAAGGAGTATAACCAATTAATTCTAGTACACTCACGCTTATCCTCACTTAGCTTGGACATATAGTACTCTTCAATATGGGATTTGAAGCCCTATTTCTTCAGATAGGATGAAAATTTGACGTTTATGTCTATATATGCAAGTGGTGCTAAGTTGATACTCCCTCTAATTCTTATTATAAGCTTCAGATAATTAACTCACAAATAATGAACAATTAGTTAAAATTAGTTTAAAACAATAAATAGGTTAAAAATATACTTTTGTTTTTAAATATGTCCTTATAACAAATGAGAAAAAGGATTAAAGAGAATTTATAGGAAAAATGTGACAAGAGAGAAATAATTAAGAATAATATTGAAAACATGTGTTAAATATTAACACAAATCCAAATTGAAACCTATAAAATGAATCACACTCCTTCTCAAATTTAAAGTTTATAAATAGGATCAGAAGGAACAAAATACTTAGTATGACCAGTTACGATGCAGGCTGTAAGTGCAGCAAAGTTGATGGAGGCAACAATGATAATTGGGATTGACAAAAATGAGAAGAAGAGAGAAAAAGGAAGAGCTTGCGGACGGACAGGCTTCATAAATCCTGACAAGTTATCAGATGAACCTCTTTCACAACAAGTCAAAGAAGCAAGTGGTGAAACGGGAGCGGATTGTTCGATTGAGTGCCCCAGAGTTCCCCGGTTGCCCAATGAAGCCATGGAATCTACTAGAGTGGTACATTTCATTCTCCAATTTCTCCGAGTAAATGAAAATTATAGGACTAGCAAATGGCATAATTTTGTCTTATTTAAAACAATGAAATGATTTTTGAAAAAGAAGTTCATATTGCAAAAGAAATCATTGTTTTTGAAGAAAAATTATTTACTGGCTAACTTTAGTAATATACGTCAAATTTCTTTGGAAATTTTCCTTTTAAGAAGATAACATATTGAGTATAATTGGCCAAATGAAAATGAAAATGAGTAAATAATTAGTGAAATTGACTTATTAATTAATTAGTTAATTAATTTTGATATAAGTGATATCCAAGTTGTTCCTGACGCAAAGGTTAGTATCTAATATAAATTTTGGACAAATCCTCTTTCATTTTAGGCTGAAACACAAAAAAAAAATGTTGATTAGCAATAAAATTAGTGATGGAATCACATTAGTGACAGAATTTCGTCGCTAATTCTTCTCTCACTAATTGGATTGGCAACTAGTTACCGATAAAAATTTTTTATTGCTAATCTGTCGCTAATTAGTGACAAAAATTTTTTGTCACAAATTAGCGACATTCACTAATTTGATTTTTGAAAAAAATATTTTAAATGCCACGTGATACCTCTGCCAGTCGCCACCTCATCGCTAGTGATGGCCGTTGGCCACCTCTACATGTCGCTATTATCTTGTGCTACACGTGTCGCCACCGTATAATTCTTTTTTAACATGATTTTTCTATGGCTCGAACCCAAGATTTTGTCTATACACGTATGTAGCTTTACCGGTTGAGTTGTAACGAACCTATTGATTTATTATGTAAAATTAAATATATATAATATTTTTTACACAAATAATTATATATACACATTTATATTATTAAAAACTAAAAAAACTAATTGATAATTTTAATCGTAACCATTTTCATGACAAAATAATTTTTAAATATTTGTTTTACTATTTATTTTTTAAGGTTTTATTTTTTAAAAAAAATATTTTAAATATAATATTAATTTACAATGACACTAATTTTAAATTTTAAATCATAAATAATTTTTTCATCAATATGTTTTTTAAATTTAATTTTTTAATTAACATTGATAAGATATATAATTTAATTATATAAGTATTATATTACATTATATTATGTTATCTATATATTTTTTATATATTTGATGAAAACAATTCATAATTAGTAAAAAAGATCTTGTTATTCAAAAAATAGCTACTATAATAAAATCTAATAAATTATTCTATACAAAAAAAATTAAATGATTTGAATAGTTTATGATAAACAATATTCTCTTACTTTTATATGTATCCTATATAATTTATTTGCCTAAAATCCTTTGTATATACCATTTGTTTTTACATTAAAAACCAAAATCAATCTATATAATGGGTATTAATTATATTATAATTAAGTTTCACTGCTTAATGATTGAAATTACAGGAGTTTCAATGGCAAACAATTTACCGACAGAATTAGAGACGAAAATTAGTGACAAAATTTTTTTGTTACTAATTTCATCACTAAAAATTTTATAATTAAAATTAGTGACGGAATTAGCAATAGAAATTTATGACAAAAAATTTTTTGTCACTAATTCTGTCAGTAATAAGCTATTTTTTTGTAGTGGTTTATGCAGTGAGTTGAAAATAGAGTAAATAAATTGCAATTGTTTTTCAATTTTGTAGAAATTTTCTGATGATTTTTTTATTTCTAAAAGCTATATAAACCTTATTTAAAAATAAAAATTGTAATTAATGACCTCCGATGAAATTATACAAACGTCTTCTTTATCTTCAAGAGGGGTTTCTATGTATCTTGAAAATAGAAAAAAATATCTATGTAATTATAGGGAAAGCCAGAGATAATTTGTGTACCTTTAAAATAGAAAGATATCTTGGGAAGGGTTGCTGACTTTATCAGTGAAGGGAGCTGGAAGTTGGAAGACATTGATCTTCCCGAACAGTTCAAACGAGCTATTAGTAAGGTGGTATAATCCTAAGCTCAGGGATTCAGGATAGAGTTCATTGGTTGAGAAGCGCTAATGAGATTTATTCAGTGAACATGGGTTATAAGTTTCTTAGATCTAAAGAGGAAAGGGATCCAGATGAGCCTACTACTTCTTTTTCAAACGATAAGGGTGTGTGGGATTTAATTTGGAAGCTTAAGGTGCAATCAAAGGTGAAATATTTTCTTTGGAGGGTTTGTCGTAATGCTCTCCCCACCATGGAAAATCTGTTTAATAGAAAATGCACTGCTTCCCCTTGTTGCTTTAAGTGTTTTCTAAATTGTGAATCTGTTGTGCACTTGTTATATGCTCAGAGTATTGTCTATTAGTAATTAATAGATTAATTTTCTTATTACAGGAAATTCCAATTCATATATGAACTTTTGAGCCTCGAGATCCAGTTGGAAATACAAGCGAAGCATTTGAGGTAACGAGACATCCAGATTGTGTCAACGTTATGGTCAAGATGTGATACCATCCATCATTGTGACCTTTTTGATATAAAAAAAATAAATTTCAAATAAAGATGCGATAATCGATATTGTCACTATGTAATTTATCATTATGCAACAATAATATGATGTTGATTTGCACCTCAATATGCAGCACATGATCTCACCTAAGTATTACGGTCTTTCCCTCTTAGAGGGACCATAATCGTCACCCGTAATTTAAAAAAGAAATCATACAAACATATATTTAATAAATGAAGCTTTGAACCATTCTAAGAGCATCAATTTAAAGTCATAATCTGCAACTCTTGAAAAATAATTCATCTTGGATTATATTACGAAGGCACTTTCGGCAAACAATGACATGATGAGTGATTACTCAATCTCATTGGCAAGAAACAATGAAACTTCAGGATTGTTTGACGTAATAATCATCCAAATTTAAAAAAAAATTGCAAAGCCACAGCTTCGTTTTCCAGTTAATTAAAGATAATGTCAATGTAAGAAACATCAAAGAGTAATTGTTCCAGTAATACAAAAACAAAGTGGTATATCAATTACAAATCCATCTCATGGCCACGGCTCCACTTTCCTGTCAAAGATATTCCCATAGGTAGAAATATAAGTGTGAAGAAGAAGAGGGAATTGTGACAGCACAAAGAGGAAGATCGGAACACTTGCAAGTATAATAATGGGAAGGACGCCCCATGAGTATGTATGCTTCAACATGAGATGAATGGTGGAAAGAAAGGCTATCATCATGGTTGCAATGGAGATGAAAAGAAAAGAGAGGCCCAAAATCAACTTTGTAGGTAAGGATTTCAGGAACTGTTCTTCTGAGTATTGAGAGGTCAGGATTGCTAGAAACAATAGAACTGAAGTCGAAGAAGAGAGAAGTGATAATATGGTTGAGAATATGAAAACCCGGAAAATGGTTGTTTGATTAATAATGGATATCCAATATTTTGGTCATTTCCTCCTGGAACAGTAAAAGCTGCTGCAAACATAATGGTCACAATCAGGGTACCAACCACTGAGCATGAAGATGCTGTGGCCTTTATCCATTTCTCTCCTTGCTTCATTAATTCTTTGTGATTTTCTCTGAATAATTCTCTAGGTGTCATACCATGATTGTTTCGATGTCCCCAAAGGCTTGGGGGCGTTAAACTCTCCACCTCCTGCATTTGTTTCAAAAAGCATGGCATTTCACATTTTTTATCAAAACCAGACTACCACTCTATCCAGATTGGAAGAAAGCAGTCACCAAAGAAAGTGGAACATTGGTTTAATGCCAAGCCTAATGAGATTTTACTTTCTTAGTAATTCCCTTGAATGATTCTAGAACACTTAATGCGCCTAAAATGAAAGTAATTCATAGGGGAACATTCTCAAATACTTGGGGACAAACTTTATTTAGTTGATTGCTTTTTGCAATACTCAATTATAATTGATGATTCAAATTTATATAAGGGATTATGACTCAAAAATTAGTACATGTCTTTATCTAACCTTGAACCATTGTAATTCTCTTTGCATTTGTAGTGTAGGCGCGTAGATGCGATTAAGAACATGATCAGGAGCCTTGATAGCTGCCTTATGCAGAAAGATATCTCTATATTCATCAACACTAGCTGTTAACAAGCCGCGGTTGAAGCGAAACCCATGGATAAGGTTGAAAACCCTAGCTTGTCGATAATTTAGAGCTTCAATGAAACACGAAAGCGACATTTGACTGATGATAATCCCTGGGATTGCTTTTGATACTTGGAACACAAACTCAACGTTCCCTTCTCTAGCTGCAAGACATAAAGGCTCTTCTATGTAACTCTCATGGCATGCTTTCCTTGCATTCTTACAAACTAGACGAAGGAATTCATTTGCTTGTGCATGCAGTAGCTTCAGCTCTTGTATTTTCTTAACTCCTACATTGATACACATCACACATGGATCTTTTAGTTAGTTTAGTTTAGTTTTTCAAAATTAATAGTAACAAGTACCCAATTCTTTCAGTTAGCATCCATGCCTGCAAAATTATCCATGAAGTTGATGAGCCTTTGTGGTGAACAATGACCTATTACTTAAGACCAAATCTTTTATCCCTCTTCTAAATAAATTAATTGAAATAGAAATATTGTGTTGAAGAGATAACATAATGTTAATCAAAAAGGGGAAGAGTTCCACATATTGTTGAGTACAATCCTCTACCTTGATGTTGATCAATCATGAATGCAAAATAGTCATATGCCTTAATGCAACTTAACTATAGATATTAATATGACTTGAAAAAAAAAAAGCAATGTAAAAGTTACACATTTTAATGCCTAAAAATATTATTCCTATTCTACATATGTACCTGGTTCAGTAAGTTTTGCTTTATCTCCTTGATTTCTTTCCCCTTGTTGGATGTCCACATAAACATGATTGATAGCCGTAGTTGAAGGTATATTTATATCTTATATGGACAAAGAACCAACGAAATAACACGTCATTAAAAAATGCATAAATAATAATGCTGATAATAAATAAATAAATAAAATAAAATAAAACAACGTATGAAAAATCGCGTTCTCTGTGGAAAAAGAGATTATTGGAATACACTGTTAGAAGTTGTTCTCCCTAGCTTATAACAAAACATGATTTTCTTGAAACAATAAATTGTGGAAAAAATAGTGTTTGGGTAGCTTATACCAAGGCCATGGTCTTGGTGAAAAAATAGATTGTGAGAAATTACTTAGTGTTTTAGTTTTACCATAGTTTTCTCTAAAATAAATGTATTTTGAATCAAGTCTTCTTAATTCACTTATTTTCATTATTTATAGGTTGATCTTTAGTCTATTCAATTGTAGTCTTCTTTCTCATTGATTCTATTTTCTAAATTACAAGCAAAAACTAAGGAAATAACCTTTAGCAATTATGTATATGTGCGCGCCCATAGCGTACGTTCACTAAATGCAGCAGACTACAATACAAAGAATGAAGATAATATAACATAAAAGAATCTACACATGACAGTGAAAAGGAAAAGAAAGCATTTGAAATATATACTTAAATACACTGATACTGACAGTTATAAACCCATCGTTTCCAGAACACAAGTTCGCTTGGGCTGAGAATAGTAGTGTTCAAGGTTGCGATGTCATGAACCGGCGTCCGCCCTTGATCATCGGCAGGCACTAAAAGCAATTCTTCGCATTGGTGAAGCAAATTCAGCGCAATATCTGCATATATTTATAGAGTCACGCCATGAATTGAGACAGCAGCATAAAAAACAATAGACATAACTAATAACTAATAAGGGGCTGAGTTTAGTAAAAAGAGTTAGTCTCTCACGGTGAACCAAAATTCAAATTCTCAATAGGAGAAATGCTCACATTTACATTTAGTGCTTGACAATATCTCAAACAAGAATACCTTTAATAAGACAATATCTGTGACTTGCAAAAAAGTTTAAAAAAAAAAAAGAACTAACATTACGTACCGAAACATTGTTCACGGAAACAAAAACTAAGAAGCTGAGAACCCCAGCGGCCTTTGAGGTATTCCAAGGGAGTGACAGAATAAAGATAACGTCCCATTTCGTGGTGACCATTTCTAAAGGCAACTGTGACAGGAAGATGATTACCACCGCTTGGAATACCAAGTATGTCACTATTCTTGTCTACGAGGCATTTTGCAATTTGAGTGATTCCGCTGAACCAACTAGCCAAGGCAAGGGCTGTACGACCGTTAGAATCACGAGCTGCAATGCATTCTGGAGGCAGTAATTTGAGCAACTCCTCCACTATGGTCACATGGCCAAGCTGGGCAGCCACATGAAGCGCTGTGCTCTTTGATTTAGTAATTCCAGCAGTCAAGGCATTAGGGTTTTGATCTATAATTTCCTTCGCTTCACTCCACTTGTTACCACTTACAGCATGCTTCAAATCCCTCTTCCATCCTTTTTCCTCATCTGTAATCCACACAAGCATCGAGGCATTTGTATGATTAAATGGAGCTGTCGAAGCAAATCATGTAGCTCATTTCTCAAACTCCACTCAATACACGGTCAAATTAGACACACATGGTTTATAAAACGACATTACTACCTCTGGTTCTTAATATAAGATCTTGTTTGACTTTTATTTTGACCCTAAATATAATACCCCAATCCACTTTGTTTCTCATATTTATGTATTTTTTCCCAATGTGATTCTTCTAACAATAATAGTTCTGGCAAATACATTTAATTAGTAAGAATATTTTAGAAAAGATACCACCTATTTATAACAAATAACTAATTTAACTTTTCCTTAACCTCTTCAAATTAGTCAATTAGTTCTTATAATTATGATCAGAGATAGTGCTTTCATTAGCTTCCTCATATCTATTATATGTCAAGCTACGATGTTTTTTTGACAGCTATTGATCCAAACGAGACTCAAATGAGAAGAGCTTTTGTACTAATTAATTATAATTCACCTGATTCCTCATCATGTGGCGTTGGTAAGGATTGTTCGATGCCGTCACCTAATTGTTCTCCAGATGATGAGTAGGGTGAAGGACGGAGCAGCCCCACGAGAGGATCCAAGTCGATCGAGAACTTTTGTTCCAAGTCACCTCGCGAAGTTGACATTTTTGGTGCACTCGCCAACCTGCAGCTTCGTTATATCAAATTAATGTTTACTTATATAGCAAACTAGCATTGACTATCTCCGTGTGATGCACGGGATGAATTTACTTTAATTTTATTGATTGTTATAAATTAAAAATGATATGGAAAAATAATAATGTTGTGATAAATTAACTAACCATTTGAACTTTACTAAAATAGTTATTTAATACTACAAACTAAGCAATAATACTTGACTCAAAATATAATTGGTATCTTTTTTCAATCTCACATAACCACATACAGGTCCATGAACAATAATTTTTTGACCTTCTTCGCATTTCAGAATTTTCGTCCAGTGACTTATAATGTCCCTTTATGAAGAATTAAAATATATAGAATGGTGTTTCAGATTCAAAAATAAACGGTTTAGTATTTAGGCATAATTTATTTGGTGCACTGTAACATTCTCAATTTATTTTGAAATTTAATGTCAATTATGGTTTAGGATATATATAATTAAGGAGTAAAATTATTTAGGAACGGTGTTAAAAAATAATAAATTATTATTCTATAAAAGATATTAATAAAAAATAAAATAAACAAAAATATTGATAATAGAAAGAGATGTGTGTGATGAAAATAAGGATATGGACAATATTAGTATCGGAAGACGTTTTAATAAGAAACCCAAAAAATCTACTACAAAAACTTATGAACTATGCACCTTGACCTGCAACACATTCCAAAAGATTTTAACGGCTAAGCAAATACTACAAGATAAGTCTGTACTGAATTTCTACCGCTGAAAATATCATAATTTGTGTTCCCAAAGTTTCAAGAACCTTCAGCCAACTTTCTTACAGTGTAAGTCCATAAAATAAGGATCTTACCAATAACAGAGTTATATGTCATACAAATAAGAAACCCAATAGACTTACCACAAAAATATAGATGACCATTTCTTTCATACTGGATCAACTTCTACATAAAATAATTATGAAACAAAAAATACATGAATTTAACATATACTGAATTTACCCATAATTTAACAAAATATCCACTACAATGGTTAAATTAGGCTAAATAATAATAAAAATTCTAAATTCAACTCCGAACAAATTCCTGCACCCTCCACCTGTATGAACTTCCCACAAATTGAGGACTACCACGCCTTAATGATATGCATAATTCGTATACGACAACTTCACCTATTTCAAAATGCTATAATTTATTAGCAAACGAATTCATAGACTTATGTTTCATAAATTTAAATGGAAAGAGCAAACGTTAGGAGAATTTAATTTACATGTCTGTTTGATGCTGCATTTCAAAGAGAACATTAATTACATATATCGAACCCATAATCCAACTTCTGACATCATTGAATACTATCAGATCTTCAAACGCACCAAGGGTAATGACCAACACCCCTCTTTGTTATCACAATAAAATAGGATGGCATATATTTATTAATAGATCTTCTTGGGGAAAAAGTCTTGGAACACATGACAATACATGAAAGATTACTTGTGTTCCCTTTTATTATTATCCTTATGCTAAAACCCATCCATAGCATGCATAAATTACAAAAAACCAAGCCATATTAAAAAAAAAATGTAGAACAGCAGCAGTAACAGGGACAACACCAACAAACCCCACTAACTGCATATATAACAATTAAATGGATAATTCATTAAAGTGTGTAACATAATTGCAAAGCATAGAATAGCAACAATAAAAGTTAAGAGCGTTAAGAATAGAAGAAATTATAATTTATAGATGAGAGTGATAGAAAAACAAAGGAGAAGGGACAATGTGCCTGGAAAATAAATCAAAACGAAAATTGAGGAGAAAAAACCAGAAGCGGGGGTTATCAGACACAAACCTTCTGGTAATAAGCCATATCAATCTCCTCATTTCCAAGCTGGGTACTATAATAGATAGAACATTAGAATACTCTTAAGCCATGTCAATCTCCTCATTTCCAAGCTGGGTACTATAATAGATAGAATATTAGAATACTCTGTTTCCTTCTTCTAAGTCGGATCGATGAGCTTTCCTATGGCAACGTCGAGCACAATGAGGCAGACGGAGATCAATAGTGACAGAAAAAGCGTCGGGAAGCAGAGATGAGCATATGAGAAGAAAACCAAACTTGAAAAAGAAGAAAGACAGATAGAGAGAGAAGGAATGATGAAAGACAAATTTCAAAATTTAAAACTGAATTCTCAAAAAAGGGAACAAAGCCACAAACAAGATGCCACTGTTCATAGCGCCATTATTGTTCATAGAACAGCAAAAATAGAGCAGAGCCGTCCAGGATTTGTAAATGGATTGGCTTGCCATTTATTTGATTTATTATGATATATAGATATAGATTCAGTGATTGTGTACAAGAACAGCATAATCAATATAATACGTGTTAAAATAAAAGGCTGAGGCTTTTTTGGGCTCTGGCAAGAGTGTGCAGTGAAAGAAACACTCAGAATAATGGGAACATTGGAGGAAGCTTCATATAAATCAGACTCCTGGATCTGACTCTTCCACATATATATAAAAGTTTGAATTAATGAATCAGGTAAACAGATAGAGACATGTCGGGAACACAGAATTCCCAACCATCAGTTAATAATTTTTTTTTTAAAGGTTAATATATCACTTGCAAGAACCTCATTTTCAGCATGATTACCAGTTTCCTCCGGAGCCGAGACCATGACCGGAAAGAAGGACAGCGAACGACGGCAGGCAGAGATGAAGGAAGAGGCAGCAGAGCAAGAGAGAGCAGTGAGGCATAGGCGCAAAGCCAATTATAAATAATATAGTAAGGTAGAGGCCAAGTGGCCTTATCTTTTTTTCAATTCAATTATAGAAAGAAAGCGAGAAAAAGAAGTTCCAAGTATACTCCACGCTAAGGTTGTTGGAGCTCTGACTTTAATTAAATTTGATATCAAGCTGTAAAACATTATGATGGCAAAATAATTTGATATCAAGCTGTAAAACATTATGATGGCAAAATAATTGGCCAATGAAGCTCCGGCCCGCTTGCACTAAAAGCATGTCAATCATAGCACTGGCTTTGTGGGTTTGCTATTTGGGATATCTGTGTTTCCACGCAGAGTAATATAAAATGCTATTCTGTTTTTATTTATAGGACACTTCTAATATATTTTCTGCTCTTATTTATAGAACACTTCCAATATATTTTTTACTGATCAAAATTATTAAACAAACACTTTTGATAAATAATCTTTCACACATTAAAAGAGAATACTAATACACTATTTGGGTTGGTTGATTCCTTTTCTTAATATCTCTATTGGGAAAGTTGTGTTTAATAGTAGAAGTCTATCAAAGAAAACTACTACCAATATTATTCTTCTAGTTACCTAAAGATTTAGTTGTTAATAGAATACAATGACATTATGTGATTCGTGTAGTCGACTACATTTAGTAAAATAAAGCTTACAAGAAAATATTTTCTAAGCATATCATCAAATTTTAATATATCACAGGAAAAAGAAGCATAAGGATCCATGAAATTTTTTTTTTTGGTTCAAAGCAAAAGGATCCATCATTAGTATTGCATATTTATATTGTAATAATGGGTTTATGAAACATAAATGTCTGACTCCAGTAGAGGTACATGCGCGAGGTGATGTTAGAAGACGGCACTTGTCGCTGCTTCTCATAATTCGAAGGGACTTCCAAAGGACGTCGAGGCATTCAACACGGTGATCGGCGAACAACAAAAGCGTTTCCGATAGTTTATGGGGCGAGGCGTTTTTCTGGAGGGCTTGGCCGCACCCACCTGAAGAAATTGAAAAGCTGCCGAATCTGCTTCTCCTCTCAGGTCCTCCTTCCTCTGGCAAAACCTCTCTTCTTTTTCTGTTTGCATTCAATGTGGCTATATCACTCACCAGCCCTGCCACTTCCAATGTCTTCTTCATCTGCAACCGCCACAAGTTTGCAAATCTCTCTTTTAGGATTGAACTTGTGCCTAATTTTAACATTGGCTGGTTTGCTTTAGAATGTGATAAAATACTCGGCTCATAAAATGAAAGCATTGGACATCCCTTAGTTGTTGAAATTAGAGGTCATCTGTTTAAAAGAATAAATGTTGGGCTGAGTATAATAATTACAGTCAAAATTGTGGCATTGGCTTCTTTTTCTTTTTAAAATCACAAGGTTAGGGAGTCTTAGTAGTCAAAATCACATGAGTTATTGCCATCAATTTTAACCAGGAAATATTTTTGTTTAGGTCCCAAATTCGCGGAGTGGTTTATTACGTTTTGAAGTTTATATTGCCCACAGTTCGGAAGGGTATCATGTAGTTTCCCTTCTTTTGAAAACGACTTCAAGTTTTGTGAATTTCAGGGCATTGATGGGTCTTCTGATGTCTTCAACCGTATACAAATGAAGTATGATAATCACCACTTCACTCATTTCTGCTATATTTGCACTTCTGATTGCTTAGTTCTGCTTTGAGTTTGACTATCTTTCCCTTTTTCATGGTTAAGGTATGTTAATGGCGATGAGGACATCAACAAGTACTTTTCTGCCTTCCATCTGTATGATGTATTGCCTGCTGCTGTTATAATTGATGATTTTGCTGATTTCTTTGATAACAGGTAATTCAGTCGTTAAAGTCTTAGAAATTGGCGTAGTTACAACCATTTTTTAAGCCTATGTGAAATTCTGGTAACTCTTTAGCAACATTTGTCTGAAATTCTGAATTCCCAAAAGGAGCTGCCAAGAACGACACTGTAATCCCCGTGTAAGAGATTTGGCGATGGTCAGTAGTCTAGCTTTATGTCACAATCCAATTACTTATGCAAAGTAAGTGGGCATTACTTCTGCAAGAGTTTGTAGTAGCGTAGAACCTAAGTGTGATGCTTCATTTGCATGGCTGATGTATTGATAAAATTCTTGTCTAACTTTTTCACAGTCAAAAAGGATCTTGCAAGCTTCTATTATCAGATACATACCATGGAGGCTCCTCCAGGTTGCATTTCATCTATAAGAAATGGTACCCTCCATTTTTACAATCAAAGGTGAGTTGAATATAAAATGACTATATACAGGTATAGTCTTTGTACTGGACTATTTATTCTGCTCTCTGAATTTGAGTCCATTTGCTGCTATTATATTGCATTTGAACATTTAAAATACAGACCATCCTACCCTGGTAGAAGGAAGTATCCTTTCATGACTTTTATATGGCTCCCAGTTTCATGTCATTTGTACCTTCATTAGTGGCATATTAATAATAATTGTCATATTACTGGATCTTTCAGAAGGAGATGAAGCCAGATCATTCATTCTAAAAAATAGGAGTTCTTCAGGAACTCAGAACCCTAATAGGACAAAAGTTGCCAAGTACTCCATAGCTCTTCAGTATCTGTTCTTAGAGAGAATTGTTGAAGATCAAACAGACTAAATTTTTCATCATTTGGAAAATCACGACGTTGTGCTATCTCTAACCCGATGATGCTGATACTGATTGGTTCCTTTTCAGCGAGCACACTTGTATCTCTGCACACATCCACTGAACTAACCATGTGATTCTCAAGATATTAGTAGCTTAATTTCTGTTTGTAAGTTCCCTATTTTTCTTATCACTTAGTTGAGTTCTATACTTTACGATGGACTACCTATTTATTAAGCTAATCTGGGGCACAGAATGGTGCCACCAAGTGACATCACCAACAAGAAAACTCATGTACTTTGGCTCTTAGATTATGGTGGTTTGGCAAAGCTGGTTTCCGCAATTTATCAATTATGAGTAGCAGAATATCCACAAAAGGTAAATTAACTTTAGCATGCTGCAATGTTAAAATTCTTCATCTTCTTTGTTTCTTTTCCTGTAAACTTAAGATTTCGGTTTTCTTGTCATCTTTATGCACATGTCTAGGACAGGGCACTGGCAAAATTTAGGTATTTTTCCCTCCAAATCCCATATCGAAATATAGGATCCAATTAAATTGGCATGCTCTGTCGCTATGTGTCATGGTATCATCTGGTCGTCTGAGTGTTTTCTCTTTGTCTCAACTCTATCGGCCAAGATTACCTGAAGTCCCTGTTTCACGTCAGATCTTCAAAGGGCAGTATTGATCAGGAAACTACTTGCTATCTAAACCAGACCCCGTGCATTCATATTTCACACAAATTATTGGTAGTTGTCTTGAGTGGAAGGGATTTGATATTACTTAAATAGGGGTATAAGTTCGAATTATAATACATTGTAAATAAATCGTATTAGGAGAGCTACCCTCATTTGTGTTTGAGCATTTTGGAACCTAACTCAATAATATCGAATGCCAAATATTTTTTTCCCCAGAAAAATGTTACACAAGAGATTGATTGCATGTGAAGTCCACATTACATCATTGAGCCCATTATTTTTGTCCCCATTATTATATACGCTCAACTTTTGAGGATGTGCCATTCTGGTCCTTATTATTTGTCACTTGTAGTAGAATTTTTTTAGTCCTTTTTATTTGTTGCTTATATGTTTTTTTAATGCTTTATTTTCAATTTTACCCACATTGATCATAAAGGTGAAGAGAGGGAATGAGTGAGAGAAAACATACTCCCTATTTAATAAGTGCAAAAGTGAAAGATTTCATTTATTTAATGCTCTTCTTGGTGTGTGAAAAACTTCTACAGGTGACAAATAAAAGGGACGAGGGTGATACTGGTACAAGGTAGCTGAATTGCGTGTTATCTCAATCTCAAATGTAAGGGGCTTTTTGTTTTGTTTTTGTTTTTGTTGTTGGTCATGGGTTTTCAGTTTTTTGGGGTCATGGGGCTCTTTTTGTTTTGGTGTACAAAAGTTTTTTGGTCATGGGGCTCTTTTAAACGTATTAAGCTTCAAGTAACTGGTCTTTTGGGCCGCTCTAGATGGCTTTCGTGAACTCCTTCCTGATTGGACCCAAATGAAAATAGCCTTCATGATATGATTTTCGTTTCATTTACGAAATCCAATCCCACAACTTTGTTAAAGGAGTATTTAGTCCTTTCATTTTATTCCGATTAAAAAAAAATTACTCTGATTACCATTGGTGAATGAAAAAAGAAAAAATAATCATTGATATTATTGTGATGACATAAAATTGAAGTTCTATGTCATCAAGAGCCTCCTCTTAAGAGTTTCCTAAGTGTGTGAGGTTGTGAGTAAGAGAAATGTGATGAAATATAAATTTTACAATATCTTTAATTTAATTTTTTATTAATTTTATTTATAAAAAATATAGAAATATATAAATGATTACTATTTTATTTGTGAAGAGCGTATTTATTTAGCAATAACTAAGCTCAAGGGAAAAATATCTAAGGACCGAATTGCAATATGATTTACTTGAGAGAATGATTGAAAAAGTAATTTTATGAATGACCAAAACCAAAAAAAATCTTATATGTAAGAAATTAAAATAAAATTTGTGGGTGTCTATACATATATATTATATTATTACAAACAAATAAAAAACAAATGTACATGAATATAAAATATGTAATATATCCGTGGGTCGCTTGGGGAGATGAGAGGGTCTGAAAACTGTTACATTTTTAACTACACTTAATAATAATGTTCCTTTTTATAGAATAATGATGATGATGATATTGATAATGATTGATTTATATACTTGGTTGGCCAAAAAAAAAATTATATACTTGAACTTGATTACTACTTTCCGATCTTATTTATAAGTTCAAATTTGAGAAGATATGTGATCTATTTTATAAATTTTAATTTGAGTTTGTTTTAACATTTAATACATTCGAGTTTGTTTATTCTCTCTTATTTGTTATACTCTTTCTTATCATGTTTTTTATACATTTTTTTTTATCTTTTTTCTCATTTTTTACAAGGGCATATTTGGAACAAAAATATATTTCTGATTTATTTATTGCTTTTAATTAAGTTTAATTGATTGTTTTTGTTATAGTCAAATTATTTATTTGAAGCATATAACAAGGATCAGATGGAATATTAAATCTGTTCAAGTATTTAATAAGCTGCTTATCCAACTTTCAAGTTTGACTTTACTTAATTAAATGAATTTAATATGTTAATCAAATGCATTCATTGAATAAGTTGGCTCTGTACTTCTCACAAATCAAATTTGAGTTTATCACGACTCCATTTATATATATATATATATATATATATATATATATGCCCTTTTCACAAGCATACGTTATTTTAAAAAGGGCTGTTTCGGAGACATAATAAAAATAAAGGAAATGAAAAATGAAGTAAGAGGAGAGTGATGAAAAATTTTAGGTATCTACTTCAAACGAGTACTAAACATTATTAAATATTAATTAAAAATTAAAAATATAATAATGAATATGAAATAGAGCGATATGAATTTATTTTCTTCAGACGTACCAAACTAGTGTTTATGAGCCGTAACATAAACTTATCCTGAGTCTTTATTTTCTGCATGCCATTAATTATATTTATACCTTCTGCTTTTGACGTGGAGTCTTTCATAATTTCAAGAAGGTTCCAATTCATCATATAGCATCGTTTCTTAATATAAAAACTACTTTCTACTCAGTTAATTTGAATACATTAAGAAAACTAGTTAAATTAATTATTGAATTTGGATTCTCTTCATTAAAAATTCTCTTAATTTACCTACATTTTAATATCTAGTCACACACATTAAAATGTACTTTAAATTCTCTTAATTTATGCATTTACTTGAATAATGTAGTTAAAAATTAAAATATTAATGTAGTATTATTTTGAGTTTGGATTCTCTCCATTTCTAATCCTCTTAGCTTACCTCCCATCCATAGTATAACTCAATTTGACCAATTTATTATTATAAAAAAATTACAATAAACATATTTAATTTGTCTTAAATTAAAAAACTTTTTAATTTTACTCATATTAAATGAGATTTTGAATAAGAGAGAAAAATATAACGAGTTATATTTAAATATCAGTTGCAGAGATAAAATTAATAGGAATTAATTACTTTTTTTTTCCAAGTAACTTATATTTTGAATTAAATCACTTTTTTTTAGAAGTGACTTATAACATGTTTTCATTAAAATGTAAGAGGTAATTGAAAACAAAATCATTTAATACACCTCCCAAAAGAAGTATATTAAAATTTCATTGAATAAAAGTACCCTGTGCATAAAAGTTTGACGAAATATTTTTTTCTATTGGAAATACAGCATGTAATATTTTTTTTTAATAACAATGGAGAATATTTATTTTATTTTTTGCTATGATTGGTCATCAACAATTATTGATATTATTATTATATTTTACTATTATTTTAATAAAGAAACTTTTTCACCTATTCTGGAATCAAATTCAAACGTTGAAATCACTTCCTTTGTTAACACATACATATAAAATATATATATATATATATATATATGTATATAAATAAAGAGGGAGAGAGAGTACTCCTTTTTTTCTTGGGGGAAATTTCTGAAATTTTTAAAGGAGAAGATTCCAAGCTGCAATTCTAAGCGCAGTAGTTGTTCAACCGATCTGAATTTGAACGTCCCACTTGCTCTTCAGAATCTAACACTTGGCAATTCATATTTCCCCCAAAAAAAAAAAACTTTTCTCATATTCTATGTCATTTATTTAATTAAAATTTTGCATCCTATCCAAATGTCAATTCCATTCTTGATATATTCTCGATATAAACAATTTATGAGATAATTATTTATATTTAGCTGAGAATTATTCTTCCCAACAACTAGCATATGTTCATTAATTTATGAAAAAAATTAATTCGCAAGACGTTATACTTTATCTTAATTTTGAACAATGTCCTTATAATTTTTTTAAATTAGGTTCTATATTTGATATGTTAGCATTAATTTATAGATTTTTATGAAATTTCATTTCTAAAATCACATTAGTGTTAATTCGGTGTGATATAAAATGAAAGAGATTCGATAAAGCCCATAAAAATCTGTAAATTAAATTTAATGATTAAGGGTGGATAACTATAATGGATCAAATTATAAGGCCTCAATTTTTTTTGTTACATTATATAAGTTCTCAATTTAAACAAAATATACTATGACAATGAGAACCTAATTCAGAAGTGTCGTAATTAAATTCTAAAGACCTACAAATTAATTTTTTCATAATTTATTTATATTCTGTCATGAAAATAAAATATTTTTCAGATAATATTTTGAACGGATCTGATTCCTTACATTTATCTTACAGCAAATTTTCAATTAAATAGTTTTTAAGCTTATTTTATTTTTACTTTTAATTAAAAATAACTTTAAAATATGTGTTAAAAGAATGTTTTATTTCATACTATGTTCATATATAATTAAAAAAAATAGACGAATAAAGTAAAATTTAAACAGGCCAGTTTTAATTTTCTCTCTCACTAAAAAAAAAAAGAGTGTAACATTTGTAACGATAAAAATAAGCGTAAAATTAATTATAAACACAAAAAACAACAATGAAAATAGACCTGTCCATAGAGGGTTGACGTAAAGTCAACTAACTTCAATGTTTAGGGGTTGTTCGGTTCATGTAATAGAATAAAAACAAAAACATATTTTGGTAAATAAGAAATATATTTATGTTTTTAAATGATTAATAAATTTAATTATTATACTACCTCCGGTTCTTAATATAGGACTTTATTTGACTTTTATTTTAATCATAAATATAAGACCACAATCCAAGTCTTTAATATTTATGTATTTTTTTTTCAAGATAGTATTTCTAACAATGGTAGTTTTAACCAATGTACTTGATTAGCAAGGATATTTTAAAAAAATTAACACCTATTTATGACAAATAACTAACTTAAATTTTTTTTAATCTTATTAAATTAATCAACTAGTTCTTATAATTAGAATCAAAGGTAGTATATTGACAGGAAAGATATAATAAATGCTGCCTATATTCTTTTTACAATGACTACATGCAAGTCGTGCCAAGAAAAAAGCCTAGTTTTGTGCGTCTTGCTGGTTCACTACTAAAGGTCAATTGGAAGTAGGTTTAAAAGAGAGGAGGGTGAAAAAAAGTGGCACTTGGGCCGCAATAAAATGGTTTATGCATGATAACCAAAAATTAAATTAGTAGTATGACTTTAGGGTAAAAGTAAAGAAAATGCCATTTATTTTATAAAAAATTAAGTGGTAATAGTGGTTATTGAATGACACTAAATAATGAGACATCTAAAATATGATACTCCTCTGATCCTTAATATAAGACTTATTTAACTAATTTGATTAGATTAAGGAAGTTAGGTAAGTTAGTTAATTATAAGAAATGTGACATGTTTTTCCTAAAACATCATAATCATCTTTCTTAATACCCTTCTCCCTCTTGTACTTGATTATGGTTGAGGAAGTATCCATAGGGGTAATCTAGAAAAAATTGATAAATATGAAAAATGGATCTTAAATATAAGACCAAAACCAACTCAACAATTAGGTTCTATATTAAAGACTGGAGGAGTATAAATGAGTAAATAAATTTTCACCCTAATTTAGCGATTCATAAAAAAGATGAGTACCACGTGTTTACTAATGAACCATATGTTTATCTAATGATCTGACTTGTATTTATCACTTAGATATACAATTCAGTGTAACTTTAAATAAAGGAGAAACTAGGGATAAGGACCCGTTTAAAAATTTAATTAAGGACAAGGGTTTAGACTTCTCCAATTAAAATAAAATATGAAAGAAAAAGTATCGAATAGAAAAGTTAAAAGGTAGAACATGAAAATTTTTGTGTGATGAGAAAAGATCCTAACAAAACCTTATCAAAAAAAAAAAGATCCTAACAAAAAGTTTGTGTTCTACATTTTTTCCTTCTGTTTTTTGCTAAAGAATTTGAGGTCCTTTTTTTAATCAAATATTTTTGTCTCCGAGTCCTTAATCCCAATTTGCACTCAAATAAATTTTGTCGTATTAAACTAAAAGACTAAGTTAATTTACCAAACATTTGATTAATCATTAAATAACAAAGTTATTTTTATTCAAAAATAAAAATTTAATTATTAGGTTAGATTTAATTTTGGCAATATAACATTTATGTTGTTAAGGTTCAAGTCTATGTTATTGTTATTACATATCTTTTTACTTAGTTCCAATAAAATTTTCTTTTAAAAAAAAAGACAATATAACATTTGCAAAAGCTTAGTACCCATTACTTATTATATATAAAATATATTTATTTAATATATTTTTAATTAAAATAAATGAATGACAAATAGAATTTTTCTTTTAAAGCAGCATATAATTGAAAATTGAAAGAAAAATTAAAACATACATACATATGGTAAGAAATAAGAGGAACATTCCATATTATTGTTTTTATCATCATAAGCAAAAAAGTCAATAAAATGAAAAAGAGTTCCTTGAAACAAACGCATCTCGTGATGGTTTGGGTTTGGGCGTGAGGTTCGGTTTTGTGGACTTTGTACAGGGAGAGAGAAAGATAAGCAAACAAAGCACTTCCACGCCTTCCTCTTCTTTCCTTCTCGTCATCCGCCACCAACCACTACAAAACCATCCATGCCCCTCCCCTTTTCAATTTCGCACTCTCTCTCTCCCTCCTCCCTCCCTCTCTCTCTAAACCCATTTTCTCTGAGCAAAAAAGTTTAAGCCTTTCTTCTTGTCATGATTGATCAGCAACATCCCGCCATCCCAGAAATTAATACCACAAACCCCACCACGCCAATCCTGGTTAGTTCTGCTTCTGCTGCCATCTACAATCACACCCCATTTTTCAGTTTCTATCTCACATTCTTCTTCTTCTTCACTGTCTCTAATTGGTTTGAATTTGATTATTCCTTTTCTTTTTTTGTGTTTCTGGGTAATTAGGGAGGTACTGCGGCAGCTGGAGGGGTCAAAGATGAAGATGATGATGGGTTGAATAATGGGGAGGAAGAGAACAAGTGGCCGCCATGGCTGAGGCCGCTTCTGCAAACTAGCTTCTTCGTTCAATGCAAAGTCCACGCCGATTCGCACAAGAGTGAATGCAATATGTATTGCTTGGACTGTATGAATGGAGCCCTCTGCTCTGCTTGCTTGGCTTCTCACAAAGACCACAGAGCTATTCAGGTATAAAATTAGGTCAAAATTGGCTCTCTTTTGAAGGGTCGATCATTGAATTTCATCCAATTCTTCCAGAAATTTAACTCACAAGTTCAAAATTGTTGCATTTTTGTTCTCTCTAGTCTACCCCTCTGCTTCTGTATTGGCATTCCTACATTGTTTAGGATCCAATCCCTTTGACTATTTCAAACCCCCCAAAAAAAGTGCTCCTTTCATTGCTGAATTTTATGATCTTCAAAGTCAACAAATCGGTTGCCAGTTTCAATCTTGCTTCTTGAATCCTCTTCTCTTTGAATAACTGATCATCCTTCATTACCCAATTCAATTTTCCATTTATTATTTGCATATAGTCTTTCCAGATTAAATTGTATGGGCAACAATTCTGATGGATTCTATTTTTCTTGTAATTTTTTGAAAGATAAGGAGGTCTTCATACCATGACGTGATTAGAGTGTCTGAGATTCAGAAATTTCTGGACATAACAGGGGTCCAGACTTACATTATAAACAGTGCCAAGATTGTGTTCTTGAATGAAAGGCCTCAGCCTAGGCCTGGCAAGGGCGTCACCAATACCTGCCAGGTCTGTGAACGCAGCCTCCTTGATTCCTTCAGCTTCTGCTCTCTTGGATGCAAGGTATGTCTAATCAACCCCAACTCTTTTCTATTTCTGTTTTTCTATTTCGCTTCATATCATGTTTTTGCCTAATATGGCTCTGATCTTTCAGCTTATGCTTATTGGTTTAGTTATCTCATATTAACTATTGATGCATATGGATTTAGCTGGGGGCTCGTCTCTGAAAATCCATTCTCTTCATTGGTAGTTTCAACATGGGGTTTCAATCTACATCTTTGGAATACATCACTTATAGTAATTTACAGTGAATTATATTTAGGAAGACTGTGGGAAGGGAAATTCTTAGGTTGACTTGGTCTACCCAAGGTATGTTAGTCATTTGTGAAGAGATATGTAGATACGTATACATGTTTGATGCGGGTTTCACTGAAAATGTTTTCTAAGTTTACTTGTATTACCTTCTGATCTTTTACATGTTTTTGGTGGTTTTATTTGTAAATGTACGGAAAAGGATGCTGGTTGCAAGTGAGTGAATACATGATTGCATTAATTTGATATATAGCTGAGCTGATTGATGTTTTCTTTTCTCAGGTTGTTGGAACGTCCAAGAAGTTCAGGAAGAGGAAAATGTTGGCTGAGCAAGAGGGTTCTGATCGTGAAGAATCAATGAATGGGCATAGCAATGGAAGAACCAGGAGTAGAATCCAGAGCTTCACGCCATCGACTCCACCACCGACGGCGATGAACTACCGAGCTGCCAAGAGAAGGAAGGGAATTCCTCACAGGGCCCCATTTGGAGCAGGACTGATCATACAATACTGATACTATAGTTGTTTTCAATCACTTGCCAACCAATATATATACTCCGAAACAGCACATACAGCAGATTCTGCCACTTCCTTAAAGTGACAAATCTCAGTGAAAAAAATTGCTCTATATTTCACCAAGTTACAACACCTGAGCCGTGTTCACTGAGGCCGGTGTTGGAAAGTGCTTCTCTATGTTGTATAGAACAACAATAGGAAGAAAAAGGAAAAGAATCTGGAAAAATATATATATGCAAATAGGAAATAAAAACATATAGTATATAGATGTTGGTGTACTCGGTGCTGGTATAAGAAATAGCATTCATATATGTAGAAAAGTATCTGATGCTAAATGTACATAGTGGTTTGTAGAAAAGAGTTTGATATTGTAGTGTCAAATTAAAGAATAAGAATGGTGGTGAATATGATGATGATGGGTATTTATAATATTCTCTTTGTTTGGTACTTGGCCATTCATTTCCTTCTTTGTTGCCCCCTCTTTTCAAAGTTGAAATTATGAAATTACGTGATGTTCTGTTTGGCTGGTGACTAAGTGGTTTAGAATGCTGACTGTGATAGGCCTTCTTTTCTTCTTCTTTCTCTTCTTCTCTTTCTTCTCTGCTTTCTGCTTTTGATGCACCTTTCTTTCCCCATTGGTATGATTCATCATAGCAAATTAATACAATCTAGATCCTTACTATTCATAGACTAGAGTAAGAGCCCCATGCTTTATCCGAAGTCTGAATTGAATGTTTATTTCCGTAATTTATAAATAAGACAGCTTTTATAAGCTTGATTATATATATTCATATGAAATATATATATTTTCTCCGGTCTTTAATAGAAGAGTTAGTTTGACTTTTAAGTTGGTCTTAAGTATAAGATCTCAATTTATTTTGTTTCTCATAATTAACTATTTTTTTAAAGTAGCTTTAGTAGTAGTTGCACAAATTAAATATTCTATCAAATAATAATTCTAACTAATACATATGATTAGCAAGGATATTTTATGAAAGACAATATCTATTTATTATAAATAACTAACTTAACAAAATAATTTAATTTATTCTAACTAATCAATGACCTCTTATATTAAGGACTAGAGGTAATATAACATTTAGAGGGTAGAAAAAGAACCAAAATATATAATATTTTTATATATGCTTTTAGGAGAATTGATATGACGTCTCAAGTAAAAAATATAATTACTAAAATGTTCTAATGACAACAAAACAATTTGCAATAACAAATTTTAGGATAATAAATGAAAACTACTCATTTATTATTGGGACTTGATTTTCTTTTTCCCCTTAAAACCTTATTGTATTTCTCCTTGTATTTTTCAAAATGGTCGAGTTTCTGAATGTCATTAGGCATTGACTAATTTGATTGAACCAAACCAATCAGGAGCATAAATATTTCACAATCACAATTTATGTCGTTAAAAAAAAAACACTTGAATTAGAGACTTTACTTTAAAAGATTAGATCCCGAGTTACCTTAACCAAGTAATTTTAGTTAAATACGACTATTGACAGGTTTAGGCGTTTACCTATTTAGTGGTGGAGACATACCTTCGTATAAAAAAATTGTGATACAGTAACCCAATTGACACGTTGAGATGATTGTCTTCTCCAATTCACAAATCAGATCTAAAAGTGAAGTTGAGGATTGAGATAAGAGTGGAGATTAGACCATTGATTATAATATTATTTTTTCTAATAAAGAGGAAAACTAGTGTCTAATTCTCATTGGGTGTAGGTTATCCTTTTGTAAATTGATTACGACTCGTATCCTTATTATAAGTCATATGTATCTTATTTTTATACACCAAAAAATTATTAAATTGACAATTTTTCTTAGATTCTCTGTTACTAAAGCTTTTTTTAAGTCTATATTTACAAACCATTATTCTTGCCTCTTTATTATTTTTTTTGCCTTTCAATGAGAATTAAATAAAAGTAAAATTGAGAAAACAATCATTAAATACCCTACAAGTAAATTATATTTAAAATGAAAAACTTTCCACACAAGTGACTTGTAATAAGAACCGAAGTAGTATAATGGGAAAAAATTAAGATATATGGATAAAGATGGTATCAATATCATTAGTTAATGTCATGAATGCTCTCATCTAGTTGGCTAAAAGCTAAACTTTGTACATTAGACTAATTATGTATTTTGAAAGATGCCTAAAAGAGAAAATGAATTCAGTACTTGAATAATTATTATTTTTTCCAAAATCAACATATTAGCCAGTAGCCAGAGGATAACAAAATATGAACATGTGTGCCAATTGAATATTGAAAACGATTCAAGCAGAAGAAATCAAACACAATTTATCTTATTCAACCTTATCACTTGAGCTTACGTCCATTACCTAAACTCCTCACATAACATTGCTCGTTATTCTTACTATATTCAAGTGTACATAATATGGTTTATTGTACTATTTATATTATATATATTGAATTTAATAAAACCAATTGAATGTTGCCTAAAAGTCAAAAGGGGGTTATTTGCAGTTACTTTTTAATTTCTAAGACTTGAAAAACTACTGTTGATTACTTTTTCTTACAAAATTCTTACTAGACCTTTCTAAATTTTATTTTCTATTGACAAAATTAATTAATGATCATTATTTTCATATTAAAATTGAAAGTGTAGTTTCATATCATGCAAAAGGTTTTCTTTTTGGGGACAAAAATAAAGTGTTGCTTTTGTCTTAATATAATTGAAATTTTCTCAAGATAATGGTTGTATAACGCCTTTCTCTTAAAATTATCTTATATCTAATCCAATTTAAGTCATATCTAAGTATTGTTAATTTGTAAAAGTTTGTGTAGTGAGTTTCGATATTTTTTTAAAAAATAAAGATGAAAAACAACACAAATGTTTATGGACTCTTTATATCTTTTTTTTTTTACCAGATATTATTATTTTCATTTCAAAAACATCTTAATTAAGGAGTCCAAATTATTTGTATTACATGAAAATATAAGATAATAGGTGCCTGATGCTAAATGATGGATGCCCAATTGAAAATAAAGGAAAGAATCCAAATAATTGAAAGAATCTCCAAAGTTCCAAAAGAGCAAAATCGATAAATTATTCACTAATAATTAGCTTTAAGGACATTAGCCTATCATTTAGTCCTTTAACTTTATATAAAGTTTTCTTTTAGTTTCTTAACTTAAAAAGTAGACTTTTAGTTTTTTTAACACTTTTAAATGTTTATTTTTTGCAATAATTATGATTGTTTTAAAAATTAAACTTAATATGTTAATATTTAAGAATGTTTTATCAATATTTGAGATCTCAATATTATCATTTTTTTTGTTAATGTTTTTAGGGTTAAAGGAAAAATCAAAATCTTTTCTAAAATTAAAAAATTAAAGGTTTAATTTGACCTAAGTAAACAGAAGTTGCCTTAAAATAAAATAATCCTAATATATCTAAACAAATATTCAAATATTTGATTCCAAATAAAATAAAATAAATATTCAAGATATATTACGTGATATCACCGATCTAAATAATATTATTAAATAAAAAATAAAAAATAACTAAAAATAATATTCATTCCTAAAATTCTTCAAAATCTCCACGTCATAGGAAATGCATGTCAAGCATTAATTTGAAACAAGTAGCATAATTATATAATTAGATACTTATTCTTTTTTTGATTTTGCATTTGCATAGATTCTAAAAATAAATCACAACAATAAACTTGGTTTTACTAAACCGAATGGGCAACATAAATCATATAATGTCATTATACTTTGAAAAAAAAATTTAAATTTGTTATTTATAACAAATAGATGGTGTCTTTTTTAAAATACCCTTACCAATCATATATGTTAGCTAGAACTTCTATTTGATAAAAAATTTAATATGTGCAAGTGCAACTACTATAAGAATTATCTTTAAAAAAGTAGATAAATATGAAAAATAGAATAAATTAAAATTTCATATTTAAAAACAAATTAATTATCAAAAAAGTAGATAAATATGAAAAATAGAATAAATTAAAATTTTATATTTAAAAACAAATTAATTATCAAACAAGTTTTCATATTCAGAACTAGTATTATTGAGAAAAATTGAGAAAAATGACCCGGGAAGACAACGACTGATACAGTGTGTCGTTTTGTATGCGTGTAAGCCCTTACCGGTATTACCGGTAAGGGTAAACGACTCGAAAGTGACCCCACAATCCACGCCGCCTATGCAAAAGCCTCCATGAACAGTGAAGCACCTGATTGTTGCCCCTCTTTTTCATCGTAGCTTCCGTCACCAATAAAATTGCCCCACGTGTCCTCAATTATTGAGCATTACTTTTCTTTTGTCAACCATCGTTTTCTTTCTTAATGAATCAGAACCCCTCTTTGCGCCGTGCTTTATTCAAAATACAAAATAGAAAAATCATGCACCACAAAAAATAATTATACTTTTTATTAGTTTTTTTAAAAATAGTTAGTAATTTATTCTACTCCTTAATATCAAATTTGATAAGTAGATTCTATATTAAGCACTGGGTGTAACATTATTTTTTTGGTGCCAAAGGTAAGTTGAATTATTTGTGCCTTACAAATAAAGGTTATATTAATGTTCATGTTAATTTATATATTTTTAAATCACATATTTAAATATTTAGCCTGATTTCAATTTCAATTTCAATTTTTTAGGATGTTTTATTAGTCAAAGATATTTCTTTTTTAATTTTCACAAATAAATTATATGTATTTATTTAATTTTACTGAGATTACATGAATTTTTATTTATGATCAAAGCTTATACAATTATTTCCTAAAATTTCTTCGTTTGGTTGGAGAGAAACAGAGGGGAGAGGATGGAGTGAAAAATAAAATTAAAATTTTTAATAATTTTTCGTATTCTTTTACTTTAAATATTTTTTATTAAAGTTTTATAACTGTATTTATCCATTTTCTTAGAAAACCAAATACAGGATAACTTTTTTTGTTATTAAATCCGCTTTGAGTAAGTCTAAAATATAGTAGAGCACACTATATCTTATCAATTTATAAAATGCTCACAAACTTCTATGAAAACTTCTTATAATTTTCATAACATTTAAGCCAGGTTTCCAAAATTTAACTTTTATTTCAAAAATTTGAATGAGCGATATCAACAGAATGAATATCCATCATCTCAACAATACTAGAAAGTGATCTTTTCGTTTAAATTTTAGAATACATCTACACACATGCTTCAAAAATCAAAATTTCTTTGGAATTTTAATAAATTTAAGGAATATTCTCATAATTTATAATTTTAACATACTAATATTTAATATAAGACTTCGTTTAACTTTTATTTTAGTCATAAATGTAAGACACCAATCCACTTTATCTCTGATATTTATTTATTTTTTCTCAAGATACTCCTTCTAATAATGATTGTTCTAACAATAAACTTGATTAGCAAGGATATTTTAAAAAAAC